TTTCATAAATTGAGCATTTCTCATTTTTGTTAATTAAAGCAAAAATTATTGAATATGAAGTGAACGCAAAAGTTATTGAATATGAAGTGAACGCAGTGAGAGGTGAACGCAGCGAGAAGTGAATGCAGCAAGAAGTGAACGCAGCAAGAAGTGAACGCAGCGAGAAGTGAATGCAGCGAGAAGTGAACGCAGCGAGAGGCGGCCTGTGTATATACATGTATGGAAGAATATAGAAGAAATCTGTCATTTTGTTTATTGTTCCAAAATTTATTCTAAGTGAGACAGTTCTATCACGATAAAAATATCTTCAGACACATGTTTAATGATAAGTCAATCATTTTTGGCATCAGTCTGAAAGAAGTTTAACTTTAATGGTGTTTCAAGTCATTTTGAGCTGCAGTGACACACACGAGGTGCCATCTTGAATCTTTTTCAATTTTCAAATGGAATAATAACTCAACACTTGAAGTTCAGGCACTTTGACGATTTATTGTCACTTCAGTTTTGTTGTTTATTAAATAAATAATCTTCTCAGCTGTACTCGCTTTCCAGGCATTACATGAGTCCTGGATGAAAATTTTAATCCTTGATGTATCTCTGTATGTCTGATACATTACAAAATTTATCTTTAAATATCTTAACATCACAAACATGACTGTGTTTGTATTTATTTTCAGGACCATTTGTGATGACCACTAGAGGTGAGATTGAAGAAGCAATAGATGATTTCCGAAGTGGTAAAAATGGCTTTGAGAATGCTTTAAATTGGAAATCAAAAACAGGAAATAATGTCTGAAAATTGTCGTGTTATTTTATGTTATCATTCCTGAACTTAATAATCCACTACCTCAATTTTTATCACTGTTATTTTTGTTACTACCATTATCAGACACTTGCGCAATGACTGTCATTTTCAATCAGTGATATTCATAAAAATGTTTTGTTTACAAATTTATAACTGGCTTTTCAATCCTGCATTATCTGTCAGTGATTGGCTTACATGGACTTTCTAAATCTAAATGCAGTGTCACAAACTCTAGGGCACTTTCAACAATTAAATAAAAAATCATGATACATAACACACATGCATATGTACTAATTAAGTTTGGATTCAATTTTAATAGGTGCATTATAATTTTCATTCATACATGTCAAATTATGAATCATTCAATATTAACTATTTGTACTAGTAACTTCATGATACAACAGGAGAAAGTTGCTAGGTCCATGAAACATAGATCACTGTTCACAAAATAGAGAACAGATCATTATAAACCATTGATATTATTGGTGGTACAAGGTGTCCACAATGAGTAAGCATTCCTTGCTGACTAATCACATCCAATCATGATTGGTCTTATATAGTCTAATACATGTCAAGTAATAAGAATCTAATATTAGCCTGACGAGGTCACATGATCTGCTCCAAAGCCAACACACGCCCGATGTAGTTTTTCACTTCCCCAACAATATCAATCAAATTGCAGGAATGTCAGATAGTGACAGCCATCAAAAAGTAACCATTCACAGCAGAGTTTATTTCCGCACAATGCAAACACGGCTTAATTTGATTGACAGTGTTACGATGACCACCAAAATGAATATTCATTGAACAGGTTTTAGTTTCAGTTAGCAGTCCCCGGTTTCACCAGGTTTTAGTTTCAATTATCAGTCCCCGGTTCCACCAGGTTTTAGTTTCAGTTATTAGTCCCCGGTTCCCCCAGGTTTTAGTTTCAGTTATCAGTCCCCGGTTTCACCAGGTTTTAGTTTCGATTAGACTGATCATGTACTGAACTTATGTCTTTAACTGATGAAGACATGTACCATATATGTGCTCAAACTATACTAATGAATGTCCTATTATATATCAGAATTATATTTGTATTATTATTTACACATCTTTTTTTTGCATTAACACCTCACACTTAATCTGAATTCCATAGTTAAGGTACGGTAGTTGGTTTCCATTAAAACCAAATGATCAGATATTCTTGAATTTTGCAATGTGGTTTTTATTGATGCTGTTGAACAACAAAGGCATAGCAAAAGTCAAATCTCAATGAAATAAATATTTCCCATACTTTTTATTGTAAAAATTTCTCACCATAGTTTATAAGATGGGTTATAATTGTCACAAACTATTAAGAAATTATTTTTGTATGAAATAATGCATTAGTATGGATTACTATATAATTGTAATTTGTGCATGGTGTCAGGCAGTTTTTCTCCAAAAATAATTCGTACTGAGAAAAAAAATGAAAAGTTGATGATACATGTCTAAAGCAATAATTATGTAACTTGTTTAAACAAAAACAAATTGTAACAATTAATCCTAGTCGAAAATTTGAGTACATGGAATGTATCTTAATGCCATTTATTGCTTTTACCGGTAACATACATGTATTTGCAAAAATAAATTTTAGAATCCATCAAGTGCAACAGTTGTAAATGGATGAATTAAAGGAAAATGCAAATGTGATAACTGGGTTTTGAAGATGTAAAAAGACTGTAACTGAGTGATATGTTGGGATGTAATGATATGTTGTGTGAAATTTATACTGTATATTGTTTTGCTGTAAATAAAGTCATAGTACTGTACCAGTCATGTTTAGTATTGTTTACCAAAGCACAGACCCCATTAGTTTTTTGTTAGAATTTGTGCAACTTGTCAGCTTTTTTGTGGATATCTCAAAAATCACTCAACTGATATCAAGGAAACATGGTACATGGATGACCTGGGACTATGCACTGTTTTGATTAGGTTGAAATCTGTGTATAATAATTATCTAATTTGCATAATAATTTATTTCTTACTATATCTCACATTTCAATGAAACTTGGCAGATAGATGCTTTTGGATAATGTCTAGGCTGATTAGTTTTGTACTGAAATCTATGGATACTAATACTAATTGCCTATTTTCATTATAATTAGCCAATTTTCAGTTTTTCCATGGATATCTCACTAAACAAATGTCAATGACATTTTGTATATATGTGTGTTGAGTACTTTTGCATTGAAACCATACATATTAATTACATAATTTGTATAAATCTGGTCATGTGACTTCATTAATATGCATATCTATATTATCTCAATCGCTGGTGAAGATATGGACATATAATATAGCCTATAATTGAGGCATTGCCTGAGATATGTCTAATTTATCACATGAGCATAATTCGTGATCTCAATGTTATGCATATTAATATCTCAAACACTGTTGCATGTTGGACAGTGCAACATTGAAGGCATTGGATAAGAGAAATGACTAATTAAAGCCGCAAGCGGCGTCACCGGGGCCCAAGCTGACAAGATTCTGTTTCATAATTAATGAGGTCACATGTTAGACAATCAGGTAGCTTGTATTATCAGTAACATGAGGTCGAAATGAAGTTGGTACCATGTATTTACCTGGTTTGGTTATCGAAATAAGGTTTTCAGGATATACAATGAACCATGTTCTTATGCACAATAATGAGATTGCATTATGATATATAGCCATTTCTAATGTCAGTTGCATCTTTCATTCAATGTCTTCATAATGACACTAGTTACATGTCCTGCTCTGCGGCAGTGTTTCAGATATGACTGCTATGCATATTAATGAGTTCACATGACCATATATGGTCATCTGTTTCTTTAATCAAATCTCAGGTTCACTGTTGTCATGATAACACAGTAATCATCTTCCTAACTACAACAGTGTTTGAGATATAATGGTTATGCATATTAATG